TGAGCTTTTCCAGCAACTTTGTTTTTGTTCCTGATTTACAGCATCGGCAGTTCTTTTGGTTTCTAATCCAATTTCCAGTGTTTGGATAACTGACGATGTGCATCTTATTAAAGTCAGGTATGAGATACGTTACTCAAAACAGTGTGGATGGTGGGGTGAGGGAGTGCAGTTTTCACTTGCAGATCTAGCACGACAGCATCTCCAGTTCATGGACTTTCGTTTCTGGGTCAGGCAAGGAGGTTTCCTGGCTTCAGGAATCTGAGTCTTCAAAACATCATTGGATTTACAGGCTGGATTAGAATTTGGTGTGGGGGGACCCTGGCACAATTAAAAAGACATCCAGATGCAGAGGCATCTGGGGTGTGGTAGTGTGTCCATAGCTGAAAGAATAAAATGTGGATTTTTCTCTCCAGCCCCTCACCCTCCGTACGTAATCCTGTATCACAGCTTCATCAGGGTGACATCTCAGTTTTATCTATTCCTTGTGCTGGCTCCTAGTATGCGATCCTGCACCCTTCATTGAACCAGAGTTGATCACCCTGTTAACGGTATTGGTATTGTATTGGTAGTGGTCACTGATTTTGGTTGAATATTATTCTGCTGCTGTTGATGGCCCACTGCATCTTACAGATGTTTGGTTCTGAGGGCTAAATTTGTTTGAAAGCTCTCTCATTTAACATGGTGGCCGTGTTACACAACACAGTGAAGGGTATCTTCAAAGCGAAGGCATGACTTTGTCTCCAAAAGGCCTGTGCGGTGGTCGCTACTACCGATACTGTCATGGATTGACAGCTAGGTTAGTATGGATGAGGGTAAATGGGTTTTTCTGTTTTGGCTCTCTCTCACATTTATCACAGACCCAGTCCAGCCGTTACATCCTCTGGGACTTGGCCAGATCATCAGTAGTGGTGTGACTGAGCCATTCTTGGTGATTGACATTGAAGTCCCCCACCCAGAGTACTCTCTATCCATCGTCGCCCTTGGTCCTTTATTGGCGGTCAACATGGAGGAATACTGATCATTCACTGAGGAGGGGTGGTACATGGTAATCAGCAGGAAGGTTCCTTGTCCATGTTTGACTTTATGCCATGGAACATCATGGAGTCCAAAGTCAATATTGAGGGCTCCCAGGACAATTCCCTCACAATTGCATACCACTGTGCCTATACCTCCACTGGCACTGTCTTGCTGGTGAGACGGAACATACCAGGAATGGTGATGATGTCTGAAACATTTTAAGGTACGGTTCCATGAGAAGCACTATATCAGGCTTGACTAGGCAATGGGACAGTTTTGATAATTTTGGCAGCGAGGATATTGTAACAGTTGGCAGGGCTGGCTTGGCTGCTGTTGCTTCCAATGTTTAGGTCAATGCCACGTGATCGGTCCAGTTTCGTTCCTCTCAGATGTTATAGCAGTTTGGTCCAATTGGGTTGCTTGCTACGCTACATGTGTTTCTAGCTAGGCCCTCCTCTTGGTGCAGATGAGAAATGGGAGGAGGACATAAGGTCAGGCAGAGCAGCACCAGCTATGGCAGTAGAGGGGCACAGAAGAACACAGGGGGCATCCTTCCTCCTTATTCCAAATACAGACTACAGGGCATCCACTTAATAAGATCAAAGGAGGAGGCGAGGGCTTAGTGGTATTACTGATGGACTGTTAACATAAGTAACGTTCTGGGAACCCGGGTTCGAATCCTGCCGCAGCAGATGGTGAAATTTGAATTCGATTAAAAAATCTGGAATTAAGAGTCTAATGATGACCATTGTCATCAAGCATTTAAGAGCCAGCTACATTACAGTGGGTGTGGAGTCACATGTAGGTCAGACTATGTAAGGAAGGTAGAGTTCCTTCCCTAATGGACAGGTGTGAATTTGATGGGTTTTTAATGATTAAAGAAACCTTAGACTGGCTCTAATTCCAGATGTATGAAGTGAATTGAAGTTCCATTAGCTGCTAGATATTAGCCTTGGCCCCTGGTTTTCGAGTCCAGTGTCCATCCTGTTAATAGCCAGGGAAAAACTCATCATTGAATCCCTACTGTGGGGAAGCAGGCCATTCAGCCCATCAAGCATACACTGACCCTCTGAAGAGCATCCCACCCAGACTCTATGGGAAAATGAGCACAGCCAGTCCACCTAACCTGCAAATTTTTTGGACTGTGGGAGGAAACCGGAGCACCAGGATGGAACCTGCACAGATACAGGGAGAATGTGCAAACTTCACACAGACAGTCGCCCGAGGATGGAATCGAACCTAGGTTGCTGGCGCTGTGAGGCAACAGCGCTAACCGTTGAGCCACTGTGCCACCCAGTAACACTGACTTCCAATCAAAATATCTGCTTGTGCTCATTAAAGTATCTTGGTACCTTGCACTTGTTTGGAAGTAAACAGGAGTTTTAGTGCCTCTTCTGGCATCCTCTCCATTTCACCTTCACGTGCTTTCAGAGAAGTGCAGAGGACCCCTTAAAGAAACCAGGCAACTTACTTTGTCCAGTCTTCACTAGAACATGTATTCCACAGGTTCTCTCAGGATTTTGCCTAAAATGTCACTGGGGTGTGTCTGCTCTTTATCAGAATCAGCGGGAGATGATGATCATGTGTATCTAGCAAGGCCCTCCTCTTGGTCCAGATGAGAAATGGGAGGAGGACATAAGGTCAGGCAGAGCAGCACCAGCTATGGCAGTAGAGGGGCACAGAAGAACATAGGGGGCATTCTTCCTCCTTATTCCAAATACAGACTACAGGGCATCCACTTAATAAGATCATAGGAGGAGGCGAGGGCTTAGTGGTATTACTGATGGACTGTTAACATAAGTAACGTACTGGGAACCCGGGTTTGAATCCTGCCACAGCAGATGGTGAAATTTGAATTCGATTAAAAAATCTGGAATTAAGAGTCTAATGATTACCATTGTCGATTGTTGGAAAAACCCATCTGGCTCACTAATGTCCTTTAGGGAAGGAAACTGCCATCCTCACCTGATCGGGCCTATATGTGAGTCCAGACCCACAGCAATGTGGTTGACTCTTAACTGCCCTCTGGCCAATTAGGGATGGGCAATGAATGCTGGCCTAGCCAGCGATGCCCTCACCCTGTGAATAAATAAACAGTAAGCAGAGTGAAGGTAAAAGAACAGGTGTTGCATCTTCTGCATTCTTGCAGAAATGTGCCATGGGAAGGGTTTCTGGGAATAGTTGAGGAGTGTATCTGGTTGTTGTGATGAGAATGGTCCCTTCTAGAAGAGAAGAGGGCATGGTTGAAGGTGCCCCTGACAGGAGCACAGCATTACCTGTGGAAATTCTGCCCTTGTCTCCAACAGCAGAGGTTGAGGACCTCAGCTGATTTTATCTCTCCCCTGCCAAAGGTGCTGAGACTAATTATTACACCCTACCTTCACCTCCTCCTTACAGTTGCTGCCACCAGTGAAGATAAACACATACTATGCACAGACATTGTAGAACATGGTTCACCATCATTAGAAATAACGAATGCGATGAGGGAAAATTTTGAATGAAGGAATCTTAAAAGTGATACCAGGGATTGGGATTCTGTGATTCAATACTGATGATGTCCGTCTATTCTATTCTGGTTAATTGGATTTCTTTGTGCTCAGCACATGGAGTCATCTCCAGTAGAAGGCTGTGGAGCTAACCAGCCTAACCATAACGTAAATAGATGACACCTTGGAGGATATATAGGGCCTTTTGAGATGGACGAAGTAAGCTGGACAAATGTGTCATCTTGTGACCTGTTTTCAGTGGAGGATCATGAATGGGATGTTTATTTAACTGCACTTATTTGTTCCTGGACCACAGACAGTTTGTTGTGAGATAAATGCAACCATTTCTATCCTGCTTTCTTGGCTCCTGATCTCTAATAATCTATTTATCTTGTTTGGGTTTGTTTTGCAGTGTCTCTTCCAGTCTGTAAGGAGCTGCACTAGAGTTCCTCAGACAAAAATGTATGTAGTTTGTCAGTGGCTTTAGATTTAGAAAGATACATGCACAAGTGATCAAATACAGTATGATTCAGCAGGCGTGCTAATAACAGATAATGTACCGTCTGATAGCCTCATCTTATTGGGAAATTTAATGGTTAAGGGAAATGGTATTCCATTTAGCAATTAAAGAAGATTTATAGAGGATAACATTTGGAAACGGTACTTTGAAGGGTGTGAGCCTGGTGTGCTGAATGCTATGTATGTTCTTTGATACCAGGCTGGTGAGGAAAATGCTCACAGGGCATGCCCTCATAACAAGTGCCCGTTCATCATGATCCACTGACATTATCCAGCACTGCATGACCAAACTATCCAGAGCCCTGTAAATAGATGACATCTTGGAGGATGTATAGGGTCTTTTGGGATAGATGAAGTGACACAGCCTAACACTGGATCAAGAACCGGTAGTCGAAGTGATGCCCCACCCATCCTTCTGTTTCCAGCCCAGGTTCATATAGGGCAGTTCCCGAGTCCTTTCCAGCCTTTGTCTGTGACTCTGTTGCATCAAGAGGTTAATAATGTTACCAGTCTTCGTGTCCCAACTGAATATGAGTGTGCCATCAGTCTCTCATTCTTCCTGATTGTAAATTTGATTGGTCATATTTGAAGTGTTTAAGCAACAGTCTAGAGAATGAATGATACCCTTGCCCTTCTGAATTGTGCATAATTCTACATTTCCCACCACTTCACATTGGTGGATCCTAGCACTGCCACATCAGATGTAGAACTGCCTTGGCCATCCTGTGCGTAAGACTCTAAGACCCCCTTTTAAATCTTACCAGCTCCAAGTTCCACCATGACAGAAGATTAGATGTCTGCTGAAGGGCCACGGACATCTAAATCTGTGTTTTATTTGTAAAGGCTGTACCATTTCACGGTTCTCTGCTGAACTAGCAGTAGATTAGTCTACCATCATGAGCACGAGCCAATACAATCTTTCGACACTAACTCGTCTCTCTCTCCTTTCTCTGTCCACCCCAACCCCATTTCTCTTAGAGCTCATCGATGGTATCAGATCAGTGCAGAGATGGCTTTGAAGAGGAAACGAGAATCGAGATTTCAGAGAGGAGGTCTTCGGTCCAGTGGTGAATAGTGATTGGCACAAAGGCACAATGGCCATGCAGCAGAGTGGAAGGTCCAAACGCCAGCCCGCTGCACACTTAGCCTACAAATTGGTGATCGATCAACTCAGAATGCATCTCAGGCTGCTTCCACTCGCACAGCACTGACTGGGCACACCATCTCCTGGATTAAACATTCCAGGTCGCTAATCTTAGCTTGTGTCCACAGGTCGGATGTATAATGCTTTCACGGGCACCCATTAGTCCTCGTGATATGTTTACCTCTTCCCTCTCAACTTGTGCACTGCTTTGCCTTTGAAGTGCGCAGCACCTCAGAGTGTTGGTTTAGCGAAGAAGCAGACACTCTGCACACAGTAGGATTGCGGATAGGTGGAAGTTGCTCCTTACTGCGACTGAATCTTTGAAGGACCAGAAGTACTCGTCCCCCTTTCGGAGCACAGAATCAGAAGCTATCGGCTTCATGCAAGCCATTCTCAGTTTGTAGGAGCCGCAGTGCCTTGGCCGAGCTGTCTAGTTCATTAGTTTGCCGGGATCCCCGTGGGGTGGTGTGAGTTCCTTGACAGACCAACATGGTGCTGCCAGCGCCGGACAGGCGCCATGTGTGCCTCTCCACCATCGTCATCATGAGCAGCATGGCCTTCATGGATGCCTACCTGGTGGAGCAGAACCAGGGGCCTCGGAAGATTGGTGTCTGCATCATCGTCCTGGTCGGAGACATCTGCTTCCTGATCGTGTTGCGGTACGTTGCCGTCTGGGTTGGAGCTGAGGTGAAGACCGCCAAGCGTGGCTACGCCATGATCCTCTGGTTCCTGTACATATTTGTCCTCGAGATTAAGCTCTATTTTATATTTCAGAACTATAAGGCGGAGAAGAAGAGCACAGACACTGTTGCGCGCAAGGCATTGACATTACTTCTTTCCATCTGCGTGCCTGGACTGTACCTCATCTTGATCGCCCTGGACAGCATGGACTATGTTAGGACTTTCAGGAAGAAGGAAGACCTGCGAGGACGCCTCTTCTGGGTAGCCTTAGACTTGCTCGATATTTTGGACATCCAAGCCAATCTATGGGAGCCCCATAAGTCTGGTCTTCCAATGTGGGCAGAAGGCCTCATGTTTTTCTACTGCTATATCCTCTTGCTCATTCTGCCCTGTGTTTCTCTCAGCGAGATCAGCATGCAAGGTGAGTATATAGCCCCTCAAAAGATGATGCTGTACCCTGTTTTAAGTCTGGTAACCATCAATGTAGTCACAATATTCATCCGGGCAATTAACATGGTCTTGTTTCGAGACAGCCGGGTTTCGACTATATTTATTGGTAAGAACATCATTGCGATCGCGACCAAGACCTGCACTTTTGTAGAGTACCAGAAGCAGGTCAAGAATTTTCCAGAGAACGCGATAGCCCTTGAGCTGCAGCAGAACTCCATTCCGCACAATCAGACAATCCACGAAACGCAGGCCGTTCCACAGCACCAAACGCCAACAAGGGAAATCGTGGACACATGACAGCAATGTGACCAAGCAGCGCATATAGCAACACAGGTACTTTCCAACAGTGGCCTGGGCACAGGAGCTGGTGAGCCAACTGGAAGGACACGTTGCCTGCCCAATAAGATTGCGTGGATGGGCAGCCAGTGATCATCCTGTCTCTCGCTTCCCCCTCCTTCTTTTGGTCTCCAATCACCAGCCTCTTACTACATCTCAGGTACAATGTGGAAAAACAAGAGTGTGAACGGAGTTGTGGGGATGCTACCATCAAGTTATAACCCAAGGTCTCGACGGGACCTCCAGCTTGAACCCACCAAGAGAGGCTGCAACGCAAGGCATTTTATTTTCCTCCCCACAGCACGTTGGCTTGTCGTTCTGAAGACGTGAGACTTCTCACATATCTAATGTACAAATTAACATGTTTAAGTGACTGTTTTACAAACATATTTTGAGGTCTAACTGTATTTTCAGAGCGAATATTTAAATTATTTCATAAATTACGTTTGTCAAATTTTAAAGGCAGAAAGAAGGTGGAAAAGGCAAATAGCGAAACGTGTTTTGGTGTGTGACAGATCGCTCTTGAATCATCATTTCTTTCTGTTGCGGTTGGTAATGCTTCATGTGATGTCCTTCACTGCCTTTGCATTTGCAACTCATGATTGTAATTAAATCTGGACTGCTGCAATTCTAGTGAAAATCTCTCAGTACTTCTGGAATGTTGATTTAGGTCATTCTTGATGGAAGCTGCTATCCCATCCTGTTGTCCCCCTACATTTCCAAGACATTGAAGTTAGGCTCCAGCTTACGTCACGAGTAAACAATGAATTGTAACTCTCAAGCAGCGGGTCACTTTTTTATTAATGATAAGCAAAAGGGAGTTCTCAGTCAATGTGAATGAAGCTGCTGTGAGCCTGACATGACCTCTTTTTTTCTTTCATGAAGGTCTGGCTCATCCTTGATGATCAAGGAACCCGAGCACAGAAATCTGAACGCTAAGGGCTGCTGGTCAGTGATACCCCATTCATGTCCCAGTATGGATCCCAGACTGGAGTCGTGGCAGGGAGGGAGTTGCAAAGATCTTTACGTAGGGATAATTGGGAAGGAACTCGGCAGGAAGGGTAGAAGATGATGCTTGGTGATTCCCCAGCCACCACTCGCCCCCAGTATTGAAAACCTTGATCGACCCCTTTGAAAAAATAAATCAGCTCACTTCACCACGAAACCTAACCCCGTCCCACAGACCAGAGCTGGAACACAGTGAAACAGTTTTGGTTTACTTGTCTGAAGAAAGATGGACTGACATTGGAGGCAATCCAGAGAAGGTTGATCCTAGGTATGGACGGACTGTACTCATTGAAGTTCAGACGAATGTGAGGCACCCTCATTGAAACATGGAAAATTCTTGGGGAACTTTGACAGGGCAGATATGGGGAGGTTGTTTTCACTTGTGGGAGAGTTTAGAGGAGAGTAAAAGTCCAAGGAAAATGAGTCACCCAGTTAGGATATAGAGGAAGATTTTGTTTTTCCCTTCTGAGGCTAGAGAATCTGAGGAATTCTTAACTGCAAAGGGCTGTAGAAGCTGGGTCATTATATTCAAGGCTGAGGTAGGCAGAATTGTAAAAGCAGGAAGGGAATCAAGGGTTATGGTGAAAAGGCAGGAAAGTGGAGTTGAGGATCATCAGATCAGCCATGAAGTCACTGACTGGCAGAGTTGACTCTTGGCCTAGTTCTGCTCCTATGTTTTTATGGCTTAGGAAACTTCAGAAACAATCATTTGGAACAGAATTAAGAGTCACATGGAAAAATGTGGATTGTTTCGAAGAGTCATCATGGATTTATTAAGGGAAAAGCATGTCTAACAAACTTGCTGGAGTTTTTAGAAGAGGCAATAGAGAGGGCTGCTGAGGGGAAGGCTATTGATGAGATGTAGACAGATTTCAGTGCCACACAACAGACTGATGGTTTTATCTTATTTTTCAAAAGATCAAGACCTTTGGATGCATCAGATAATTTCAAAGTTTGCAAATGAGATCATACTTAGGAGAACTGCAAACTACAGGGTGGCATGTTAGCACTGCATCATAGCATGAGGAACCTGGGTTTGATTCCATCCTCAGGTGACTGTGTGGAGTTTGCACATTCTCCCTGTGTCTGCATGGGTTTCCTCCGGGTGCTCCGGTTTCCTCCCACACTCCAAAGATGTGCAGGTTAGGTGGATTGGCCATGGTAAATTGCCCATAGTGTCCAGGGATGTGCAGGCTAGGTGGATTAGCCATGGGAAAGGCAGGATTACGGGGATAGGGTACAGAGGTGAATCTGAGAAGGATGCTGTTTGGAGGGTCAGTGTGGACTTGATGGGCCAAGCCGCCTTCTTCCACCCTCTAGGAGTTCTATGATTCTTTGAGGAGGACTGCATAGAACTTCAAAAGGATATTGACACATTGATGAGTAGGTGGATAGGTGAAAGAAAAAGTGCTAAGTGGTACATTTTGGTACAAATATAATGGAAGGGATATAATGTAATGAAATGAAAGGGATCTATTCTGATGAGTGTGCTGGAGTAGAGAAAACTGGGTATATACTTGTGTAAGTCATTAAATGTAACAGGACAAGTAGAGAGAGATATTCATAAAGCATACAGTATTCTAGTCTGCATTAAGAGGGCTGTAGAGTACAGGAGCAGGGAGGTTATGCTGAAACGATAGAAGACACTGGATAGATCTCAGCTGGAGTGTTGTTCCACGCCATGCTGTGGAAATACGTGAATGCATTGGACAGAGTGCAGAAGATATTTACCAGAATTGATCCAGGGCTAAGGGTAGGTTAGAGAGGTGAGACTGTTTTTCTTGGAGAGGAGAAGACCAAGAGACTTGATAGAGTCTTCAAAGTCAGGAAGGGTCAGGACAAAGTGGATAGGAAGAAACTGTTCACACTCAAACAGATCTAAAACTGTTGCCTTTGGTTCTGAAGCATTTTGCAAAATTAGTAAATGCAAGGTTAGAAAAAAACCTTTCTCATGGAGCAAGCCATTAGTGTCTGGAGTACACTGCCAGGAAGTGTGTTGGAAGTAGTTCCAGTGAGGTATTCAAGAGGGTATTGGATAATTGTTTCTTTTTAAACAATGTGCAGGGGCTAGGGGGATAAAGGCAGAAATTGGCACAAAGTTAAAATGCTCCAAGAGCCATTGCAGACATTATGGGCTGAATGGCTTCCTTCTGCATCAGACCAATTCTGTGATTCTATGATTTGACAGGGGTGAGGAAGCGTCATTGGTCAAAGATGTGAAATTGTGGAAAGAATTAAAGAACGGACTGCCGCTTTTAATAAGCAGCCACCAGTTGTTGCGGTTTACGAAGCATGTTGTTAGAATAATGTTTGTGAAGGACGAACAATGAAGCAGAGCAAAGCACTTACTTAATTTTCAACCCGAGAGGCACAGGTTTTGAAAGTCCTGTGCTGGCTTGTTTTAACGTTCTCAGACTGTCCTTGGCATTACTAGAAAAACAGGTAACCCTGACAGTCTGTCTGTCACTCTAACCCTGTCACTCTCTCAACTGCAAGACCCATTTGCATTATTTTGGCTGTCCATTATTTGTCTAATGGGGAGATTAGTGGAAAATGAGGCTGATTTGCTGAAAGCAAAATTAACCCAATTTGTCTGACAAACACTGCAGGCCTGATACTGAAGTAATCAGAGGATAAATAAGATATGTGAGACTGTGTAGCTAAAGAATGCTATGTGTTATGGTTTAGATGATGATCATTAACCCAATCAATGCTATTAAAACTCTGCATTTCATTTTCGCGCATGTTGTCTGCATAAAGGTAGGGTCATCAGCTCGTTGTTTGCATCTTGCCATCGATTCACAATAGAACTTGGGTCACCTGGTTGCAATTTTACATGTTTCAAATAAATGAGATTCAGCCAGTCATGCTCTTGCCTCAGTGTTGGAAAGATGAGGCAGGGGTATCAAACCCCACTGCGCATCCCGGGTCAGTTTTGGGACCAAACAACCTGTTCTGAAATCCCACAGCCCCACAGTGAGAAAACGCTGAGGTTGCCACAACGTGTTAAGAAGTGGGAACTTCTCACAGTTTCCCCCCGCAGCGAGAACAGGTCCTGCCCTAGTGAGCCGCTGATCAATGAGATTAGAACCAGCAATCAGAGGCCACTGCTGGCATGACAAGATGCCTGACCACCAAGTGCCATGGACCATCTAATTCAGCCAATCCATTGGACAGCACAGTGGCTCAGTGGTTAGCACTGCTGCCTTACTGTGCCAGGGACCTGGGTTCGATTCTACCCTTGGGCGACTGTCTGTGTGGAGTTTGCAAATTCTCCCCGCGTCTCCCAGGGATAGGTGGAATAGCTGTAGGAAATGCAGGGTTACAGGGATAAGGATGGAACTGGACGGGATGCCCTTTGGAAAGTTGGCGTGAACACTCCAGTCCAACACCAGCACCTCCACATCATAATGTGAACCGACAGAATCCTAGGTTCTAGGGGCAAATTACTGCAGATGCTGGAATCTTTACTGAAAACAACAAATGCTGGAGATCACAGCAGGTCAGGCAGCATCCATGGAGTGAGAGCAAGCTAACGCTTTGCTGAAGAGTCATCTTAACTCAAAACATCAGCTTTCTCTCTCCATGTGATCACCAGCACTTTTAGATTCCCAGGTTCTACTGGTCGGCATGGTGGCTCAGTGGTTAGCACTGCTGCCTCACAGCACCAGGAACCCGGGTTTGATTCCACGCTCAGGCGACTGTCTGTGTGGAGTTTGCACATTTCCCCCGTGTCTGCGTGGGTTTGCTCTGGTTTTCCCCCATGCTCCAAAGACGTGCAGATTAGGTGGATTGGACGTGCTAAATTGCCCGTGGTGTTTGGGCAAAGTGGATTAGCCATGGGGAATGCAGGGTTACAGGGGTGAGTTGGGGAGGGAGGTGTCTGGGTGGGATGCTTTTTGGAGGAGGGTTTGTGTGGACCAAATGGCCTACTTCCACACAGTAGGGATTCTATGTCTGCAGATTTTGGACAGCCCCGCTTGGCATACACCAGAGTCAACGTATAGTTGGACTTGCATACCTCAAAATGGAGCTCCTGTTTGATAAGTACATTCACTTCCAGGTTTTACAGACTTTCCATTTTCTGGTGCACCCTCACCCCCCATTTCCTCTTAAGGGCCCAAGGGGCAGGTGAGCTACACGATGCCTTTTCTGACCCCCGCAATACCATGGGTGGGGGGTTTTGGGAGGGTAGTGTCAGTGGGAAGGGTAGGGTACAGGTTGGAAGGGAAAGTGGAGGGACAGTCACCCATTTTACATTTTATGAGCCATCCCTGCCTTCAATCCTGTGTAGCGGGGAGGAGCAAAACACAGTTCTTGAGCTCGTAACCCCAGGTTGATGCACCACGGTACTGATGGAGTGCTGTGCTGCTGAAGGTGCTATTTCTTCGAGATTCCCCCTCAGATGGAGGTAGAAGATCCCATTGCAGTTTGAAGATGACTTGGGGCCAGTATGGGGTGGGAGAGAGACTCTAGAGCAACCTCAGTCGAAATCGTTCTGGATCGTTGCCACTCTGCTGTTTGTAAGAGGCTGCGCTGCACAATAAGACCAAAGGAACAAAGAAAATTACAGCACAGGAACAGGCCCTTCGGCCCTCCAAGCCTGACCGATCCAGATCCTCTACCTAACCCTCTCGCCTATTTCCAAGGATCTGTATCCCTCTGCTCCCTGCC